CTCAAAAGAAAGGCTTGTCAGTCATCTTTGCAGCTATGGGTCTGCCTTGCCCCTGTGTGGTAGGAAACATGGTTTATCAAGGCCTGACTACCATAGGGGATGATTTTCACGTTCTCAGGGTCAGGGAGGAAGCTGGGAAGACCATCTGGAGCCACAGTGGGAACACGGACTAGGACAGTGGTTATGGAGACAGAGAAAAGGAGACGGATTTGAGAAATATTACAAGTTATCTCTCAGAAAAGTGCTTCCCTGGGGAAACTGATGCTCAGAGAAGTTAACCTCTAGGGGCATTTGAATATGGACGGTGCTCCACAGCACACTTACAATAAAACCCCAACGCTTTTCCAAAGCCCTGGGCATCCAACAGAGGCAGTATGTGCTGTGGCTGAGGGCACAGAATCTGGAGCCCATGACCTGATTCAAATTCTGTCCCTACCACTTGCTTAGCTGTGTGACTTTGGACTTGTTGCCTAACGTCACTGTGACTCAGTTTCCTCATCAGTAAAATGGGTGTTAAAATGATACCACCTGCCTTCCATAGTGATTGCCAGCCATATGGGTGAGTCGCCCATGACATCCAGCCCAGTCGAGCCTTCAGATGACAACACCTCCAGCTGATGCCTTACTGCATCCGAATAGGAGGCTCTGAGTCAGAGCTGCCCGTTACAGCCGTACTCCATTCCTGGCCCACAAAATCAAGAGCACAAAAACAACGTTGTTTTAAGGTGCAAAGTTTTGGGGCTTGTTTGTTATGCAGCAATAGTAATTAACGTATATGTATGGTTTCATTTAATACGAAGGTCAAGGTGGCGTAGTGGTTAAGTGCTATAGCTGCTAACCAGAATGCTGGCAGTTCAAATCCACCAGGCACTCCTTGGAAACTCTATGGGGCAGTTCTACTCTGTCCTATAGGGTTGCTATGAGTCGCAATCAACTTGACGGCAATGGGTTTTGGGTATTATGATAACCGTTTTACAGATGAGGAGACTGAGGCACAGAGAAGTGAAATTCTTCTGGGCATTTGGTTATGAATGGTGAGGGAAAGAGAGGAGGCAAGGATGGCTACAACTTCCTGTTTTGCAAGGAATGGGTAGATAGGTAACCCTTTCCTAAGGGAGGAACCACTGGGATAGGACAAGTTGAAGTTGTGGGGAAAGAGTTCCCCCCTGGAGAGAATGACTTTGAGGGGCTCAAAGGGTATGTCAGGTCAGCAGTTGGCTAAGTGAGTTTAGATGTGACAGGAGCCGGCTGGACGGAAGACAGAAATGTGAAGGTTTAAATTTGGTTTGGATTGTCATTCGAGGTGCAGACAGGGGTGAGACGATCTGAAGAGAAAGCGAAAGAGGGGGTCTGCACCCGAGGAATTCCAACACGTGACATCTGGGTGAGGTAGGAGGACCAGGAGAGGGTGGGGACCACAGACACCAAGGCAAGCCAATGTTTCCAGAAGCTTCCAGAGGGAGTGAGGCAGTGAACAGAGTCAGCAGCCGCTAGAGGCAAAGCAAGAGCAAGGCCAGGAAACATCCACTGGATTTAAAGGTATTGAAGGCCCAGACTCTGTCCCAGTTCTGCCAGACCGCTGGGGCTGCTCAACACTTTTCTGCTTTCATGATAGCAGAAGCAGCAGCAGCAGAAATAGTAGTAACACACTTTTTAATTTACTTACTGAGATTAAATCCATATAACATAAAAAATTAACCATTTTAAAGTGAACAGTGGCATTTAGTACATTCATACTGTTGTGCAACTAACCACCACCTCTGTCTAGTTCCCAGACTTTGCCATCACCCCCAAAATAAAATCCGGAAAAAAACAGAATTCAAATTCATGTAAAAAGTCCAGACTTACCGGTCTGACAGAGGCTGGAGGAACCCCCGAAACTATAGCCCCTGGACGCTCCACTAAGCCAGAACTGAAACCATTCCCGAAGGCCACTTTTCAGACAAAGATTAAACAAAAAAAATACATGTGAGGAACGTGCTTCTTAGTTCAATCAGATATATGAGACCAAATGGGTAGCTCTTGTCCAAAAGCAGGACGAGACAGGATGGGACAGGAACTAGACGGATGGACACAGGGAACCTGGGGTGGAAAGGGGGAGCGTACTGTCACATTGTGGGGATTGCAACCAATGTCATAAAACAATACGTGTATAAATTTTTGAATGAAAAATTAACTTACGCTGTAAACTTTGACCTAAAGCGCAACTTTAAAAAAAAAAAAAACAGAAAAAAAAAAAAAAAA